ATTCTCACAGATAGACAATGGGGATTTAGGAGGGGCTATTCAACGGAGAGCCTCCTCCTTCATCTCACTGAGTCCTGGGGGAGTGCCCTGGATAGAGGCCATAAGGTTGGAGTCTTATTCATTGATTTCCGCAAAGCTTTTGATTGTGTCAACCACAGTATTCTTACTGAGAAACTCAAGGCTGTTGGCTTGGCAGGTGATATGTGGAAATGGATCAATGACTATCTCTCCAACCGTGTACAAGGGACTAGTGTAAGTGGGTCTAGATCTGATAGAATCCCCATTAGAGCTGGGGTCCCTCAGGGATCCTTACTAGGACCAAGATTGTTTGCATCTTATGTTAATGACCTCCCTGAATCTATTACCAGTGGAGAAGTCTATATGTATGCTGATGACACAACAATATATGTAGTAGGGAATACTGTTGATGAAATAACAACTGGGTTACAGGCTGTTTTGGACCAGGTTAATTCCTGGTGTCTTAGTAACAGATTGATTCTACATGAAGGTAAATCCGAGGCAATGGTCTTAAGTACTACCCCCTTCATAGGTCCTTTGAAACAGCTGAAGTGGGGTATGGACACCATTCGGTATGTGTCCTCCACCAATTGCCTTGGGGTTACAATTGATGATAAACTCTCTTGGTCTCAGCATGTTGCATTGGCTAGATCTGCATTTAATGCCAAAGTTAAAATGTTGAGACGTATAAATTTCCTATGTACATCTATCTTGGAGACTTTTTACTATAGGATAGTTATACCAAGTGTTCTATATGGAATTGCAATTTGGGGGTCTGGATCCAAGCTTAAAGATCTAGAAATGATTCACATCAGGGCTGCCAGGCTAATTCATAAGATACCAAATAGTTTTGGGGATAATGATGTACTTTCTAAGGTTGGCTGGATGCCTTTAGAGTATTTTTATAAGCTACGTATTTTAACTATTACATATAATGCTTATTATAATTTAGGGTTGCGGGAAATTAATTGTTTGGTGACCAAGAACTCTAACAGTTATAACCTAAGGAAATCCCTGAATGTTGTACTTAATAGGCCCAAAACCGAATTGGGTCGTAGGTCCTTTGCTCATAGATCTGCAGTAGCATGGAATGCACTTCCCGATAATGTTAAAGATTCTCCAAATTTATCTATTTTTAAATATAACTTAAAACAATCCAAGCAAACTGTTATGAATATTAATTTTGAAAAGGGAGGTAATGTTATACAAAACATGAAACCAAATTTTCACTATTACTAAAACTTTATGGTTTACTTGATTTATTCAACTTATAAATTTTATCATATCTGTATTTTATATAATTATAGACTAATTAGTTTAGGCAGGTCCACATCAGCTGTAAAGTTGCGCAAATTTTAACCTGCGTTATCAAATAAAGTTATGTATGTATGTATGTATGTTAAACATCCCGGTACTTGTCGGTACTTTGGCAATCAACTTCAAAAATAGTTGTATACAGTTTCATTCTGATCGATTCATCTATTTGCTATTTTAGCAGTGAAATTCTAGCCGTGTTAAAAATGGCTTGCGAAATTTGCGAACAACTTCGAAATATTCAGATCCAAATTTATTCCTATCGATCAATCTTTTGTTTACGTACCGCCGCTTATTCGGAATTCGTGTCATCGCAGTGCCTGTCCCTGCTTCGCGTGATGAAATCATTGTCGTAGTTTTGCTTGCCATAAATCAGTGCACTGCTTCGAAATACTTCAGACCCTAGCCTTATTTATTTTACACCTCTAAGAAGTATCACAGATGCCCCTTCACGCATACAAATATTTTTCTTTTGTCAGCACGCGCCGACAATTTTGTCAACACGCGCCAAAGTTCCGTAAATTCAAAAAGGTTTTCAGTTGCGGATGAAGGCCGTCCTTTGAGTTGGTCAACAATGGATACAAAAGAAAGAAGGTTGGAGGTGGCAAAGTGAATAACAAAGGCGATACGGGTCGATGATCAACGCGTTAGCTAACGCGTTAGCGAAAGAGCACTAACGCGTTGACTTCTTCGAGCCCACGCGTTGAAAACGCGTTAGGTGGTTCGCTTATCTTCGAAAGGTACTGTACATACACAAATACAAAAAAAATAAATAAATAACCAAGGAGTTATTATTAAAATTGTATAAAACACTCTAGTTATAGTGCATCTTTGTGCATAACTCCATCCCACAAGTCAATAAGGTCATCTACTAATGGCTGCAGGAAGGAATTGATATAATGCTTAGGATCCTTTGGCCCAGGAATTATTCCAACAACAATAAGATTTTCAGGTTTGAAGCGTTCCTTTTTTGGAAGGTTCATTACAACCATGTAAATGACACAAATGGATTTTGAACCATGAAGAGTGGGCTGAAGCCAGTCAATGTTCAACATGAGAGCAAAGTTATTTGGTATAGCAAGAAAGGGCTCTCCATCCACATACTGAAACTCTTTCCAAACTCTTCCTTCAAAACAGTCTCCAAGAACATTGTCTGACAGCTGAGTGGAACAATTTCTCCACTTTTCACAGTTTTCCATGAAGTTTGGCTTGTTAATAAGGTCTTGTAATGAATCAGTAACCTTTTTAAAGCAGTAAACCTGCCTAGGATACAAGAATGTCTTTCCTGCTCTTGACCTCATAACTTTCATCAGAACGGAACCACATGGCCTCCTTCGGGCTTGGTGTGGGTGGCGTGGATAACTCACATGACTGCATTTTGCTGATACAACCTCACCATTTGGCCTTTGGCAAACACATTCATCAAAATTATAGAGAGTTTTACACTTAAGGCAAACTGCATTTTTAATAAAACTGTCCTTCTGAAGGCCAAGATTTTTTCGAATCATGTACAATGTTTCTGGGATGATCTTGGCAAAGTTAATAAGAACTTCTGCTTGCATCATCTTACCAATACCAGATAAGAACAGCTTGAAAAACTTTAAGAGTAGAACAATAGCCCTGTCTGCAACTTTGAACATTGCCTGCCACAGAAGTAAGAATAAAAGCAAAGCCCTCAGTTCTGTGCAATCACTTCCTGGTTCCTTCTGTTTACCACATTTTTTTTGCACTGTTTTCCATTTCATGAGAATACTCAAAGCTCTGCGTATTGTTCTCTACATCATCCTCCTGAAATGAAATAACAGTACATCAGAAACAATAGCAATAAATAGTACTCAAGGTTCAGTATACATGTACATCATTCTGCATGTATTTACATCACTTGTGAATAAAATGAATATCAAAATATTTCACTAAAAGAAATTTTACACATAAAAGCAGGGCAGTAGCCACACTGTAGCCTGAGGCAAGACGAGGCACTTGCCTCATCTAAATTTTTACCTAAGATAAAACAGTAAAACCTAGCTTAAGTTGGAAAAGTAATCCCCAGAAAACATTTTTCTATTGGTTTATGAGAGATTAAGCTACCTAAGAAGAGTGATTTAAGAGCAAAAGCCATTTTATGAGGGTCATTAAGAGAGATGGCAATGTTATGATCTGCTCTTTTTGTATTAGTTTGCCGTATGAACCAATAATATTCTATAAACTAACCAAGAGTTGCTGTTCTGATTGCATGGAGCTTTCATGTTTTTCCACTGAGGACTCCTCTGGTAACATTTCATCATCTACATCATTTTCACCACCACTAGAATCTCCTTCTGAAAAGAACTGCCTGTCTTCATCATCCCAACAAGGAAGAGCACCTTCATTTTCTGAATCAGAGTCCATGTCTAACTCAAGCTCCACATTTTGACTAGAGAATCCACATGCAATATCACCATATAGTGTCTGATTCTCGTAGAAGGTACTTTAGCTCACTGTTTTCTTGCAGTGGTTACAGTAGAACTTGTCACCAATTCTAGGAGTGACTAACAGCACAAGATGAATGTCAGATTGATCAGCATCAATGAGCTGATATACAGTGAGGCTCCTTTTACAGAGCAACATGCAACAGCATTGCTACAGGTGTATTTCCTGGGGTATAAAATAACAACCTTTACACACAAATGGATGTGTGTACCCAGAGAGAGTCAAAAGTAAAACAAAAGCAAATAAAGAAAATTTATTATTATTAAAAAGGTCAATTTGCATCAAGCTGTTTACATATAACATTGTAAAGCAACAGACTGTGTTTTTCCACATCTGAATGTCATTTTCCACAGAGAACTGAAGTACTGTACATGTAATTGATTGGTGGACCTTATGTTGATACATAGGAAAAAGTCAGAAAAATCCTGGCCCTGCCCCAACAAAGTTTTGAATGTAATTACATAAACACAGCCCATAACAGACAGCCTGGACAGAGCTGTAAAAGTACTGTGCATGTGGCATTGTCATTAGGGGCTGTAACCCGTAACCTGTAATACCTGTTACAGCCGAGCTTAATTGATATTACAGGTGATAGTTACTATTTAAAAAACTGTTGGTAATGCTTTCAGATGTTCCAGCAGAGATCTTTGACTCTTGTCTTTGCTGTAAAATTTTGGTTTGTGTTCAGGAGATATGTCTTAGCACTCTTACCAGTCGGTCTTTGGCGAAGGTTTAAAGCGCGCAAGTTCTACCTAAGTCTTAACTGGAGTAAAAAATGGCGCTGTTCATTTTTTTTTTCGAAAATTCCGCCATTTCACGTACGTGTTGCTATGGTTTAACGTTGTCGTCCCCAGTTTCCCCCGCGCGCGAGTCTCTACCATGCGCAGGGGTTTTTCAGTTCTGTCCAGCCCGCGCAGAACAAGATTCTTCCTTCTCTCAAAACGGCTTAACTTTGAACCATCGCAAATAATCAAGAGTGTTATATCTTGTGCGACCCGGGCTTAAAACACTATGAGGACTGAAGAAAACTTTTCAGGAATTTCAACTATCGTCGACCTATGTTCAGAAAGATCAACCTCATTATTAACTCAACTCACCTTTCACGTTTAATCTCTGCAAACTGGACTTTTCACATATGTGATCATAATAGAAGCTTTCCCCAAACCAAGAAGCGCAGTTTTCACAAAATTTCCTTCTCAATTGATCCGTACTTTCACCTATTATATGCTGCCTTGGTGAAGAACTCTGAGCAATCGATTAATATGCTGCCGAGTTAAGTGCCGACAGTCGTGCCGACAAAATGCGTGACATTCAATGAGAAAGCGCTTATTGGTTAGTCTTACTCACGTGGTTGCTCTAGAAGCAGATTATTGGCTTACGGGTCGCTCAGACGAAATAGAAGGGAAAGAGAAGCGTCGCTCGACCAGTGGACGCGTCACATAATCTTCGCTGGACGGTTTTAGTTTTGACATCGATGTGGCTGCATCTTTCTTCCGGAGTGGTAATACCAGTACCACTTTGAGTCGACGACCATTCGGCTCAAGCTCATCAACCGGCGCCCGATCAAGCGCAGTTCCATCCCATCCAGAGCCTTTACGAGAAGATTCTATTAGAAATCGGGAGAACCTGGTGGTCTCAAACCGAGAAATTCGACAGTTGTTCGACACAATCAAAGAACTGGGGGATATAGTAAAGCGGCAAAAATGCCAAACTAGACAGTTTGAGCGTGGAACTGGAAAACGCTTGTAAAGAAGTGGCTGAGGTGAAGACCGAACTACAGACTGTACGACACAAGCTCGATCGCCAACCTCAGTCGACCGAGAAGGAGAATATCCACCGTGGGCCTGTTCCAAAGCAACTAAAGGTTTGTGCAAATTTTTGTTCCAGCACTGTAGCAATAGGCGTTTCCTTTTAAGCTTCGATTCTGGTATGGGAAGTATTTTAAGCTTGTGGGACAGTATTCCCTTCTTTGTGATGTTAATACCGCATGTCATATGGCTTGTTTGAAACTAAGCCGAGAATAATAAATACTCGGGGGGCGGCCTCAAAGATTGCTCCAGTGTATGAAGTTTTGAGAATGTCAGACATCATTTGCCAATAGTGCCTGAAAATCAACTTCTGCAATTTAGTTTTAAAGCTACTGAAAAAGGTTACTGCACATAGTTCAGTATAGATTGTTTTTTTCTGTAATAATTTACAAAAATGTCCTTAAGTTAAAGAAGATGTTATTGTTCATTGAGGTTAAATAGATAAATGAGCATTTAATCATTTTTCTCATGATTTAGAGTCAGGCTATCAAAAGTTTGATTGGGTGTTTCGACAGCTACACTGCTAGTCTTCTTCATCAGGTGATGAAGTCAAATGTTTATGTGTTGCTATATGTAGCACCTTGGTGTTTTGTCATTGGTACATTTTGGCCCTCCATCATTGGGATATTTTGATCCTCATTATTATTCCAACCAGCAGATGTTGTTCTCCCGTAGGTCAGCTTTTTTACTGACTAGCTGTTATGCTTTTTGATTGTGGGCATCCATGCTTAAGGAATTTAAATTCTGCTCTCATTATTGATGAAGAAGCCATCCACATAAAACTTTACCCTAATAACATCAATAGAGAGAGTGGGATCAAAATTTCTGAAGTGTGGATGGCTACAGTTAAAAAGCATCACAGCCGGTCAGTAACAAAGCGGACCTATGAGGGAATAACATCTGCTAGTAGGAATAATAATGAGGATTGAAATGCACCAAGGACAGAGTACTACAATGTACCAATGACAAAACACCAAAGTACTACATATAGCAACATGTAAACATTCAAACTTGCTGCCTGACAAAGACTAGCAGTGTAGCAGTAGGAAACATTGCTGTCAAACTTTTGATAGCCTGACTCTATGTCATGAGACAAATGATTAAACATTTATTTCTTTATTTGTCCCTAAGTTGTTTGTTTTTGTAAATAAAACATCCTGTATTCTGGCTAGAAATTTTAGAAAACCACACAATTGTAAGCATAATTTGTTACCCATGATATTATTAGAATTTGAACTTAACTCCCTTATTTCACTTTTCACCTTTGATTCCACATACACTGTTCTTATAAGAAACGTTAATGTTCTTATAATTAATTTTGTTTGAATTTAAGGGTGATGTGCACTTGTTGCACAACAAACAAGAAGTTGAACTTTAGTTTTGTGGAAGTGAAGGGTGAGTAAAAGATATCTATTCAGGATATTAAGAGTTCGTCTGTGGAATGTTTTGAAATGCACCTATCATCAGCCATCTCCTGGAGGGGGGAACCTTGGTTAAGGGAGGGGACTTTGCAAAGGGTGTAGTCAAAGAACTTAATTTCCCTTTCTAGGTGGGGACAAAGGACAACCAAAGTTAAGAGATTGTCCCTCCTAGAGGGGTGGCACATTTCAAAACAAGAAGCCACATTAAAATTTGCAGGACAAATTAAAGCTTTGCTTACTTGTGACTGAAAAGCAATACTTTCACAAGACAAAAAAAGATTTTACACAATGCTTAATAGTCTGCCATTTTGATCCAAGCAAACCGCGAGGAGATGGAGAAGCCTGTGTTCTTGTGTATTGTGGTCTTTTCTGTCATTTAAAACAACTTGAAGTGACTTGTTTCTGGCTCTCTGCAAAGTCCCCTGATTTTTTGTGATTGGCTGGCAAATGGGGAAGACAGGATTTTATTTGTCTGTGATTTTCCCTCAAGCATTTTCCTACAAGCAAACTTTGTTGGCCATGTGAATATCTTATTTTAGTCAAGATGCTGAGCAATTGGCCTTGTTTACTTTTTACATCTTCACAGATCTTGACAAAGTCTCAGTTCATAAACACACAAAAATTTTATCACCTTCCAAACAAGCTTGGTCACTAACTTAAACCTATATTTAATTTTGTTCATCTTTATGCACCTTTCTAACAAAGCATTACTACTATAACATTCCTTTGTAGCATTGATACTGCCCACAACAGTGCTGTTCGAGGATTTCTTTGTAAGGAACTGGAAAAGGAAAACAATGGCTATGAAAAGTCAACTATCAAGTGTAAGTGATGTGTTCATATGATTTTCTCTTTAAAGTACATACATAAATGTGCTACTAGAGTGTGCATGCAATTTACTTTTCTGGTCCAACAAAATGTGGTCACCTTGTAAGAAATTTTTTAAACTTTTGTTTATTTCATCTGAAAGTTTGTTGTCTAGAGTACCCTAAAACAGAGAGCTTTTCGAGGTGCATAACCTGTCTTGTGCCTGCCTTTAGTAGAAGACTCCTATTGTTCCTGTTGAATGAAACTTAACTTCGAAGAGACACATTTGATGCATATCAAACAATTTAATAGGTTGAATTTGAAAATGACCTAACCTGACTTTCTCATCGAATGTTGATGTAAGGTTGCCATTTACTTGAGAGAACAAATGGATAAATTTGAGAAAAGTAGCTTTCAATGTTAGGACAAGATTCTCATCAAAGACTTTTTCATGAATTTGGGTAATAAATAAATAATAAGCAATTTACCTAATACTATTTTTATGTACCAGGTGCTGTGTCAAGATATTATGAAACGAAAAGACAACAATACCTCGACAATCCACCTGACAGAAGAAATAAAGCAGAGAAGACTGCTCTGCAATAAATTGATGCAAATTTCATGAGTGGCAAGGAGAATGGTGAGGGCAGTCAAGAGGATGTGTGGGTTGTGAGGTCACCACTGTGGCGTAGTCCACAGCTATCTCCTCTCTTAAAGAGACTTCAGGAGAAAATTGACAAACAGCCATCTTCCTCCTGAAGCTCACATCCACAAAATACAAGAGTAGAAGGAGAGCCATCCACACACAGTCTACCAACTTCCTCACCTGCATGGGCACTCCTTCCTGGTGATAGACAGAGCCCTGAGAGGTCTCCTTCTCAAAATAGGATTCCTCCCTCCCCACAGTCCCCACAACATTGCAGTGGTGATGAAAGCGATGGGGAACCCTTGCATATGTTGGACACCAGCCCTGTCACAATCCGGAGGAGGCCAAACAGACGGCTACAGTCACTGTGGGACTAAATTAATGCCTAAGTGTTCTTTATTTACATAACTTGTATGTTTTGCCTTCTGTTTTTAATTCAGTTCATTTGACAGAATGGCAAGGTGGTTTATGGGTATTAGGGTGAATGGTTCCTTTTTAACCCTAACTCACGAAATTTTTTTTTTTTTTTTTTTTGCATATTGCATTAGCTGGTTTCACAAATTGAAAAATTAACAAATGATGCCACTTTCTCTCTCTCTCTCTCATCTTGATTGGAACATAATCTGCCAGCTATTGCAAACAGTTCAAAAATCTGTGGGAAGAATCCTTAAATAACATAGAATTTTGTGGCGATCAACTCCATTTATTGTTGAAGTAATATTAGATGTACTGAAGACCTTTGTAAAGAATGCTACAGTTTTGGATATGCCACAGTTAATTTTATTGGAATGATTTCAAACAAGCTTCTTGAATTATTGTGCTCTTCAAACAACTTTTATGTTAAAGAATTGGCTTTAAAAAGGCACTATCCAGCTCAGTAAATAACCAGGGCCCACTAAGTTGTTAACATGGTATGACTTGCTTAGAATTTATTGTTGTTTTTGATAAAATTTTATTACTCTCTAATATTAGAGTATAGACATTTCTTTTTGTTATTCTTGTCTTCATATCTGACTGATGAAAAAATGTCTTTTTATCATACTAAAATTATTGTCGTGGTGTAATGATTTATGTAAATATTGAAAATGTTGCTTTCATCCATGTCAAGCATTAAGCACTTTTAGCTTAGTATATTTAATTATTACACACAATCTAAATTTTTTCCCTTTTTGTGCATAAGGTTAGACTTAGTTGTTAGTCATCACATGATGAAATAGATTCTGTAAATTGGCCATTTTGAGTATTATTTATTAGATATTAAAATAATTTATTGTTTTAGAGTAAAGGTTCTGAGAAAAATACACTAGTAAGAGGGTGCAGAATTATCGGGAGAATTCGTTGCTTTTTCCAAGAACACCTGATAGTATGTAGTGTGGATCAAGAATGCCGAGTGAAATTTCTCGTACCGTGGAATATCAAAATCTAGAATACGAATCTATTCTTCAAGTATCGAGAAATTTCGGGTTCTTGAATATCAAGCCATTCTCATAGTAACGTGGAAAACCGGCTTCTAGAATACAGACCGATTCGTCTAGTACCGTGGAATTTCGGGTTCTTGAATACTACGCGATTCTCGTATTACCGTGGAAAATCGGGTTCTAGAATACAGATCGATTCGTCTGGTACCGTAGAATTTCGGGACAAGAATACTTAGTGAAACTGTTCTCACGGTGGAAAAGACAATTTTTAGAAAGACACGAAAGAAAGACACAATTTGACTGACCGCGCGCTCGTATACGGTACGCCATTATTTGCGGCAAATCTGAAAGTATAAGGAAATTTCCAGGTCTCCACACGCCGCGTTTCAATGACGTATCCTGACATCGGATTTTCCATGCGACGGGTTAAGTCCGAATTGGAACGAATAAAGTTCCTGACACTCGGTGGACACATCGCATGTCTTGGAACACGGTACGTCCGGATATGTCCGTGTTCTCGAAGAATACGGGTCTGTATCGTGTGGTTTCAGCACCGCGATACGCCCTATCTCACACAGTGTTGGTATTAGCCATACCCAGCTACCGAAACGTACTCGTAGTATTTACGAAAAGCTAAACGTAACGATCGGTACTCCTGTCTAATTCCATGCTTTTAGTTTATCTAATCGAATATCCATCGCGGGGAATTATGATTTTCACAAGTCTCGTTATCATTGTGTTGATCGTTTTATAATGGTCGCAATAATGTATCACATCACATCCGACAAACTCTGTAGCCTCATGCAATGCACGTATATGGCGACGAACGAAATTACGAATCTCGCCGCTACCGTCACACCGCCGATGAATTGTTAAACCGTTTGTATTTTTGAACGTAGCGCTGGTGGTTATTATTGCACGTTATTGTTCGCCTAGTTATCACATTGTAAAAATATACCGATCGAGAAGTTGACATCCTCCAGGTGTAGCGTCAAACTTTTTTGTGAACGCACGAGGAGATAATATCGAGCGGTGAAGGCCGTCCAAACTAAGAAATCTGGGTAATTTAGTGTTAACAACTGGGTTGAAAACGTAAATTAGCCACCGTAAAGGGTAAAAAAGCTGACGTTTCGAGCGTTAGCCCTATCGCTCTGACGAAGGGCTAACGCTCGAAACGTCAGCTTTTTTACCCTTTACGGTGGCTAATTTACGTTTTCAACCCAGTTGTTAACACTAAATTACCTGCTATACTCTCCCACCGACGCAGCACCACAGTTTCTTTAGAAACTTACCCCTTTATAAGAAATCTGGGGGCATGCTCTTACAGAACATTTTTAAATCTAGGGTTTCGGAAATGCCATTTCCTGCGTTTTTTTTTTTTTTTTTTTTTTTTTTTTTTTTGCAATTTAGGCAAATAAATTAAAATGATTTTGTTGGTGTTTTAGTTTCCCCACCTCCAGTATTATCGGTAAATAAGGCACAATTTTACGGCTGGCTGCGGAAAATATTACATACATTTGTACACCGGTATCATGCAGCTATGTGGCACCGTTCGAAAAGGCCACTTCTGGGCATGTTTAAAAACTAACTTCCCGTATGGAAACCCAGACTGGGCCGCAAACCAGTCGTAACACGAGAAAATTGTCCTTACTCTTCTCTGCCAACGTCTGTCTATTCCACACATTCTTAATTATTAGTTCATTATTTTTCCCTTTCATACTTCTTTTGGTATCTTAATTAACTACCCTACCCCCCACCCTCATGAAAACAAATTAACGTCGCCTGACTCATGAAGTGGTCTACACTTCATATCAGTTCGTATGGTAAAGCCTCATGTATTATAACAATAGGTGATTGGAAGATACAGAGGGAGTAGAGAGGAATTTTTAAAGTGTTCAGTGGACTGTTTTCAATGCTTCGAATAGAAAACCCTCAAAGTCATTTTGTTCTACAATATAGCTCGTTTTCTTATTGCAACTACAAAGGAGGCATTGCTTTATTGACGCTTACAGTCTGTTTACAAGCATTTTCTGTGTTTCTTGACCTTCCTTAACTGGTGTAACGTACTAAATGATGTGATTAAATGATTTTTTGTTAGGCGGTTGGACAACAATCAGTTGAAGGGATTACCATCAGACATTTTTAGCAAAAACACCTTGTTATCGGACTTGTAAGTTTATACTCTTCTTTATTTTTGCAAAAGACGCCTTAAATCCAAATCTACCGAACATACAATAATGCCTTATCTCCAAGTGACCTAGATGCCTTCTTTCCTCTAATGCTGATGCACAGTACCCTTGTTCCTACCTCCCCCTATGTGCCACTCCTCGTCTCCCGAAATGTTAATTTCTCTTTATAAAATGAGCAGCCCTAGTAATAGATCTTTTTAGCTGTGTGATCACGTAGTTTGCAGTAGGTAAACAAGGATTCGAAATGGCTGCTCAAGTACGTACCGCAGACGACATTTTATGGACGAAATTCCTTCTCCTCTTGCCGAAATTATTATATTCACGAAGAAAATAACCACTCTAATGACTGCGCTAATATAGAAATGGGCGACAATTGACGTAAAATCCTTTTTAATACAAAAGTTGAGATTGTTAAAAACAGTCTTACGAGCATACGATCTTTAAAGTTTAAAAAAATACATGAGGCCGGCACAAAAGAGAGGCAAATATATTAAACAGAATCCAACCTTGAAAGTAGGCAGTTCAATGCGTGGGTGCTGTCGCATCTTATCCTAAGAAAGCGGCATTAACACTTGGACTTAGAAATGTCCTTTAAGACATGCATTGGTTTCGGAAAATTCGTTCCGTGATAGATTGTCCACAAAGAAAAAAAAAAGTAAACAAATTTGTTAAAGGAATCATTCGAGGATGGAATTTCCCCCTTAGACCCTTCCCTCTTTCTTAACTAGTCTAGTTATCAGGTTAAGAATATCCGTGCAATTCGGTGCTTAGGTCTGTGTTTCAGTTTTCTTCTGATTATTATCCTTTGAATTAAGGGATGAAAAAAAAAACAAAACAAAACAAAAAAAAAAAAAAAAAAAAAAAAAAATAAAAAAAAGAAAAACAATCAGCCCAGTGACACCTGTTATTTGATTAAAACACGAGAGCCTAGTTTGAATGAGCAGTCAAAGCACTTGAACTGAGCGCAACAACTGAATGTGAGGTTTAGAAATGTGTCATGCACCTTTAATTTATCTCCAAGCGTCTATGAATCAGTATTACAGTATGCCATAAATTTACAAACTTGATTAATCCGAACAAATTGTTTGAGAGGCCAGGAGGGGGTACTAATCCCATCAACCAATCCTTCCTAAATCCAGATCCAATATTCGAGCGTCTCTGAATCATCTTACCTCAAGCTCAGTAGCAACAAAGTACCACTGGTAAAGACCTTAATATATGACTCACTGACTCCTACGAATTTGTAAAGTTTTTATAGAGATATCCGGGACTCTCTAACCGTAATTGAATTTAACTACTGCTGGCTATATTTCTAATAAAGTGGATACAGGGATACAAGCAACATGAGACCTGTGAGGAAGCCTCATTTCTTGAAAAATAATATTCCACGAGGGAACATATATCTGAAGCAGAACACGGAACTTCCTAAATTACTGTCGCGCTCGATAAGGTGCATTTGAACTAAACCAACGGCACCCAGAAATTTGTTAGCGATCATAAAATAGAAATCCTGATAATGATTTGTAATAGGAAACAAAACCGGCCATTGGGAGAACACTTTTCTCCCTGCTGATATCCATTACATTCAGCGCTTAAATTAAGGTTGTTTTCATTGTGTCCTTTTTCAAGCCTTTTGGGTGTAATATATTTTTCAAATTTGTTAGGGGCGGCAGGAATATTCAGTAGATGATAAGTGTGTACAGCATTGAATCAAAGAGATTGTTTCTTTTTAGAGAGATTTTGAGGTTATAAATGTAAAGAATGTAAAGAATGGTTTATGTTTAGAAAAGTGTAAGATGTATTATGAAATAGAATATGAAAGTAGCCTCATACAAAACTTTTAACAAAAACTTTTTTCTGAATTCCGTTATGAACGATTTTGCATTGGTGATTTTCCCCAACAAATTGAAGTTGACTACTTAA